GTAGATGTTGTTGTTGTTATGTGCTGTGGAGTCAGTTCCGATTCATAGCGACCCTGTACAGGGTTTCCGAGGCTATAAATCTTTACGGGAGCAGAAAGCCTCATCTTTCTCCCGCGGAGCAGCTAGTAGTAGATATGAGTACAAAAATACTACTGATAAGATCAAAGACCATAGTCTTTGATATGGGTTGCACCTCAATGTGAAGAAAACAAAAATCCTCTCTACAGGACTAACAAATACCATCATGACTAATGGAGAAAAGATTGAAGTTGTCAAAGACTTCATTTTGCTCGGATCAACCATCAACACTCATGGAAGCAGCAGTCAAGAAATCAAATGACATATTTCATTAGGCAAATCTGCTGCACAAGACCTCTTTAAAGTGTTCAAGAGTGAACGTGTCAGTGTGAGGACTAAGGTGCCCCTGACCCAAGCCATGGTATTTTCAATAACCTCATATGCATGCATAAGTTATACAGTGAATAAAAAGACCATAGACGGATTGATGCATTTGAGCTATGGTGTTAGAGGAGATTATTAAAAGTACCATGGACTGCCAAAAGAACAAACAAATCTGTGTTGGAACAAGTACAGTCAGAATGCTCTCTGGAAGCCAGAATGACCAGACTTCGTCTCTCATACTTCAGACATATTGTCTGGAGGGACTGTCATATTTTTCCCTGGTCCCTCTCACTCTCAGAGGGACTAAAGAATTAGTCCCACCAAGTTGCTGCTTCTCAATCACACACAAACAGTAAGTATTCACTCTGAAGCTCTTTATTGCAAAGCAAAAGTACACTTCAAGGAGAGAAGTGGGTCTGTCTCTGCAAGTGGAGAAAACCTGGTGGAATTGGGAGCATGGATTAAGTCAAAGCAAAATACACTTCACACTTCAAAGAGCAAAGCGGGTCTGTCTCAGCAAGCGGAGAAGATGCTGTGAGATTGCGGTGTACTAGCTTATAAGGGCATGGGGTCTCCTCCTCCAAGAGTGGGCTAATACATATTGCTTAGGAGGAGTGTGGTGTTGAATATTCATTTGATTTTTAGTAAAGGGGTGCAGGCTTCTTGGAAATGGAGTGCTTTTTGCAGTTATCAGCTCTAGGTGCTATTTTTATGGGCTGTCTGCCAAGTTCTTCCTCTTTGTGACCAGTTGCTTTTCTCTATCAGGTGTCAGGTCCTGGTATCTTTCTGTCTGTCTTCAGACTGTTCCTGTCAATGTTACTATTCTTGTTGGACTAGAGATGCCTTTCTCTTTTCTTGATCCCTGTCTAGTAGGAGAGGACTTAGGGTCAATGGGCGGATGTGAAGCCAGGCTAAGAGAAGCCTGTTGTTGTTGTTGTTGTTGTTAGGTGCCATCAAGTCAGTACCGACCCATAACAACCTTATGCACAGCAGAACGAAGCCTAGGGCCCAGGAATCCTAACCTGTCCCTGACAGGACCAGTCCCTGGAAAAGGATATCATGTTTGGTAAAATGGAGAGATGGAGATAAAGAGGAAGATACCCAATGAGATGGATTGGCACAGTGGCAGTAGTGATGGGCTCAAATGTAGCAACGATTGTAAGGTTGGCACAGGACCGGGCAGTGTTTAGTTTTGTTGTACATAGATCTGCTATGAGTCGGTACCAACTTGAAGGCAAGTAACGACAACAGGTGGTGTATACAGTTAATACCCCAGGTTACTAACATTAACACTGCAGGTTTTAGTCCACGTCGAGGCACCTTAGAAGAAAGGCCTGGTGGTATACTTCCCAACAATCAGTCACTGAAAACCCCATGAACCACAGATTTCTATTCTGCAACCAGTGGGGTCACCATGAGTCAAAATCGATTCAATGAAATTGGAAAAAAAAAGAGGCCAAGCCCATTAGAAAAGAAAAACAGTTTAAGGCTGACCAACCAGCACGTGTTCCACTTGTTCAGGCTGATGAAGTCACGTTTTAGTAATTTGAGGTGATAGGAGTTTATCGTAAGGATAAATGGAAGCAGCTGGCATCAGTATTCAGGCCGTAAAATGAGGCTACCACAAAGACCCAGTAGCTAAGCTAGCATGCAGTTTCTCTGCCTCTACCAGTTTTGGATTACTCATTAATTTTTTCTCTCTCTTAATTTTCACTCCCTCCTCTCTGTTACAGCTTTGCATAACTCATGGCTTCTTCTGAGTTTCTTGCTACTTTCTGTTGACACTGTGTCCTGAACCCAGACTGCACTGAGAGAGAATCTGACTGGGTCAGCAACTTAGCAGCAAGGATAGACACAGTGCCTCTGTTAGGCAAAGCTCTTTGGTCCCATAGCATACAAGTTGTGGCCTCAGTAGCAACATGGCTTAAAACTGAAGAGATCACATGGTCTAATTCATGCTGGATGATTTTAACTTTTCTGTCAAGTGATAAAAGAAAAAAACAAAACAAAAAAACACCCTGTTGATTAGTATAGGCTAAGAGAGATTAGGAGATAAAGGATGATAAAGGAGGTTTGTTGTTGTTTTTTTAATTCCATGGAATTGGCTCAGGACTCACAGAGACCCTATATGGGGTTTCTGAGTGGGTTTGCAGTTAGCAGTCCAGTGTTTATCCTACAACAGGACTTTGTTGTTGTTAAGTACTGTCGAGTCGCTTCCGACTCATAGCATCCCTATATAGGGTTTCTGAGGAGCAGCTGGTGACCTTGAAATGCTGACCCTGTGGTTCAAACCAACTTTGCAGTCCAGCACATTAACCCACAGTGCCACACCAGGACTTAGGGCTCCCAATATATTGATATGTATAATTTTCAGAAAGTCAAGTCAAATATTGTACAATAAGTGAAAACATGAACAGTGAACAGACAAGCTTTTGAGGGTTGAGAACATGCAGAAGATAAAAAAGGTGTTATTAGTGACCACAAAGCCGGCGGTTCAAACTCACCAGCCACTCCTGGGATGGTCAGGATGGTCATGAATTAGAACTGACTCATTGACACTTAACAACAACAACCAGAATCTGAAAGCGACAAGGAAAGATCTTCCCCAAACATAGGAAGACATTTTCTTATAGCCAACATGTAATTACGAACAATTTTGCTAAATTCTAGATGTATATTCTACTCATATCTCTTCATTATTAGACTGTGTAATATATATGTACTTTGTTGTTGTTGTTGTGTTTAAACTGCCAACCTTTTGGTTAGCAGTCCAGTGTCTATCCTACAGCACCACATCAAGACTGCCCGCATTTCTTGGCATTCCTGGGCTTGTAGAAGGATCTTCATATGTATCTTCCTCCCTCCTGTCCTCCCTTTGGATAGGACACCACTCAGAAAGGATCAAGAGCCACGTAATCCAGCAGGACCTCGTTAACTGATAACACCTGCAAAGAAAGCCCCTCATTCTTCAAACTAGGTCACATTCACAGGTTCAGGGGTTAGGATTTGAACTCATCTTTATGGAGGACATAATTAGGCCATATCCTAGAAGCGCTTAAAGGGATATGTCAAGTTCAATCCTGATTTATTCCTGTTGCCAAGGTTTACTAGTTTATACAGGGCTTCACTACAAATATGGACAAATAATTTTAACTGTCGGTTCATCCTAAAATATTTTCCCTATGATGAAGTATTTTGATCATTCAAGTGGTACCAAATGCTTATACAAAGATACAGAATATACTTTTAAATGGAATAAGAAGAGTACTGTTCAGCCATTAACTCATGCAACCTTGGTGAAGCTGCTTAACTTGTTTTGTGACCATTTACAATTTTTTATCAATCTAGCAAAATGAAGACTTTGGATTAGGCAAGGCAAGGTTTGATTTCATTCATTCACTTGATAAATATACTGAGATTCTTTTACGTATCCGGCACTGTTTTAGGCGCTGAAAAAATAAAGATCTCATAGAATTTACATTCTATAAAATCCCTTGATCTGTTTAGTAATTCTCAAAATATGATCAATAGCAGCTAAAGACAAATTTTTCAAAACATTTGGGGGACCATAAGTCTGTTCTGTAAACCTTCACTCAATTCACAATAAAGTGTTTTAAAAAATACAAAAAACACATGGTGAACAGTTTTTCTTTAAGTATACCTACATTCCTCCCCAGGAGGTACGTACCAGGGGAAATTACTGCTGTGATGAGTATTTGTGAAACCTTCATAATAGTCTCAGCAAAAAATTGAGAATTAATGCTCTAAATGATACAGCATATAAAAAAGGTGCCACTCACATTGCCATATTTTGAAGTCCAAAGGGAGATTCATTAGAAGAGCCGATTTTAAACGGAAAGTAAGTTTGGAAAGTACACTTGAATTCATTGCTGCTGTTGTCCCACTAGCAGGTTCAGGGGTTAGGCATTGACTTATAGTGTCCCGGTAGAGGGTTTACGAGGCTGGAGCAGAAAGCCTCATCGTTCTCCTGCTGGTGGATAATCCGTAATTCACTATGCTACCAGAGCTCCTTGACTTAATTTGTTGTGCTGTTAAGTGCCATCGAGTTGGTACCAACTCATAGCAACCCTATGCACAGCAGAATGCAACACTGTCCCATCCTGGGCCAACCTCACTATTGCTGCCACTTGTCCAGTCCATCTCATTGGGAATCTTCCTCTTTTTCTGTGATCCTCCATCTTACCAAACATGATAGCCTTCTCCAGCGACTGGTGCCCCGACAATATGTCCGAAATATAAGAGACGAAGCTTGGCTATCCTGGCCTCCACAGAGCACTCTGGCTGCACTTCTTCCAACACAGATCTGTTGGTTCTTTTGGCAGCCCATGGCACTTTCAATATTCTCCTCCAACACCATAACGCAAATGCGTCAATTCTTCTATGGTCTTCCTTATTCACTGTCCAGCTTTCGCATGCATGTGAGGTTATTGAGTTAACAGTCCCCGATTAATTGAAGTCATGTGAACACTTGCAACAATCAGATAAAAGAATGCTTAACCATCCTATTGCTGGCTGTAATTTCGCATGCTAAATTCATTTGGCAGATTAAAAAAATTTTTTTTAATCACCACTATCCTTTTAACATTCCATGCCACATGTTTTGCATTCAAAATCAAACATGAATTAATGGTGTCATAGCAGTTTGATGATCAGACTCCTGAATGTTTTCTTATTCTTCCATAATTGAAGAATTATAACATAATCTGAAATGTTGGGAAGTTGTACGAAGTTTATTTCCACCCTTCCCAAATGTAATAGGTGCAATTAAAGTTTATGCTCTAGTAAATACAAATTATCAAAGTAATGTATATGACTTGAAAACTGAAAACAACAGAAATAAAAAACATCCAGTTTAACACTGTCAGTCATAGAACATTTTATTTTAGACTTGTTCAAACTTTCAAATATAACATGTGTCAAAGAGAGAAGAGTTAACACACAGTATCTGCCACAATTTTATCTTTGAACTGCCTTTTCTATATTTTGTGATATGTTACAATTTCTTACATTCATGATACTCTTCAAGGCAGCAATGAGCATTACCATTTTTCTATTTTGAACAGTTCCACTATGAATGTTCTGAAACTGCTTTTTACCATGACAAACTTTCCTTTTAGTACTCCACTGCTGCCCACATTAGCAACACAATTCAACATATTATTAAGTTGCTGAGAGGTACACTGTATTTAACAAATCAACTCCCAACTTTAAAATGAATTTCAATCTAAAACAAACATTTTCTTAAATCAGTATACTCAACTATTTTTCTCAAAAATATTCCCATTCTGAAATAAGCTGGTTGTGTGTGTGTGTGAGAGAACTACAATAGTTTCATCTTTTATTCCTAACAGAACTCATGCTGTACTTTTTTTTCTCAAAATATATTCAATAATCTGTGCAAAATGTTCAGTTCTGTATAGGTTATGTACCTTATGTTGAAAAGTTTATAAAATATAATTCCTAAAAACAACCTCAACATTAGACAATAGAGGAAGAAACAGATCAGAAAAAGCCTAATTTTTCACATGAGAAAATAAGTATGTTCTTAAAGCTCCAGCAATACATTCCTTGAGAAACCTCAGAATGCACTTTGGTCATTATTAAACACATTAGAACCTAGGCAAATAAAACAACATGCTTTTTTGTTGTTTTCTATAGAAAGAAAATACACTACACATGTGGCTGAAATGAGGCAGATCAAAAGGAATGGTAAGAGCAAAGTGATATGACATGGCTCTGTTTGCCACACATTCCTGATCTGAAGATTATGATTTGGGGATCAGAACTGCACCAATCAAATAAATCATTTACAATGTATTATTTTAAATTTCCTAACACATGGTAAAAATGTGAGGATATTCAACATGATACACTTTGCACCAAGAAAATTCTGGATTGTTTCAAATAAATTGTTTTAGAAAAAAATTTTCAAAAACAATTCATGTTTCATGTAATTCATAAAACACTCTTGATTGTGCAAATATAACTTAAAACCAAGGCCCAATGCATGATACGATACTGTCATATTTGCCCTATTTATCTAACATGTCAACATGATAATGTACTCATTTAGACACTTGGCAAATTGTTGGAGGGGTTAATTGTCTAGGTTAAAAGCATCTAAAATAGCCCTTATATAGTAGGGGTGGGGAGGGAGATGCACCAGATTAAGTTTAGAGGAAAGAGTTTGTAAGCTGAAGTGGTCTTTTCTGAAAATTTGGAGCTAGTTTAAAACTAGCAATTGGAGGAATACTTTATTGGCTCTTGTCCTTATTTTAAAGGTATTCATTTGAGCGTGGTATGAATCGATACAATAGTGTACCATGGGGAGAAAATGATTTTACTTGAGTAAACATAATGTAACCTTAATAATATCAATAGGCACTTCACTTGTGAGATGAGTATATACCTCCCTCAAAAGGATACCATATCATGCCCCAGTACACTAAAACATATCCCATATATAAAGATGTACATTAAAAGGAACAATTTTTAAAAGTGCACATTTTGAGCATGCACAGTTGGAGCTGTGCAAACAGCCCAGTGTTTCAAATAAATACAATTATTACTAGTTAATTTTTATCAAAAAATCTTACAGTATGGTAACCATTTACAATTATTGCTCTATTAAGAGTTTTATCATCAAAGAGCACTTGTTGACCTGTTATGTAACATCATATATATTAATACTGAAGGGTGCTTAAACTGCAGCTTAATCAATGTAGAACCTGGCATTGTTCCAAAATAATTCAAAAAAACCCTGACTGGATCTTAATTTACTGAAGAAAATGCTGTATTTGCTTAGCTGAATCCAATGCAATATTCCAAAGTTAAAAAACTTTTTCCTCAAGTAAGGCAAGTTCATGGCATTGATGGAGAAACAGTGCTTAGCAATGGCTTCTGTTTTCAGGATCAGCAATTTTGTCAATTATTTCTGAGCAATTACCAGGATCTCAAGTATCCGGATATCATTTTTATCACCCTTTCAACAACTAAGTATACACCAATGCTTAAAAACAAAACTAAAATAAATGTAAAAAACAGTGAACAAGTAAAATAAATATAAGAATTGCACAAGACAGTCTGATGTAAACACTTCAATTTCCCAGCTGAGACTCCTGAAGCAAAGGGTCAGTGACTGCTTGCAGGCAGCTTAGTCGGTACTCTTACTCTGGAAAAGTGGCCACATCTTTTCTTTGAATTGTCATGATTTAATCTTCCACAGCTGGAGAAAACACAAAAGATCATTAGAGGCAGTTTTAATAACCCAACTAATTAAACCACATCAATATAATACTTTCTTATTTAATTCATAACAAGTATCTTGTTGTTTTGTGCTATTGAGTTGATTTCGACTCCTAAGGATCCTGTATAGGGTTTCCAAGGAGTGCTGGTGGGTTTGAAATTCTGACCTTACAATTAGCAGTCCAATGCTTATCTTGCTACATTAGGATCCCTTATATTTTAACTTTCATCCTTTTATTATGAAGAACTCTTCTTATAAGAAAAAAGTGAAAACTGGATTTTTTTGTCCTGCTTTCTTTTACTGGGACGTGGTAATATGCACATACCAAAACCAAACGTACTGTCATCCAGTTTATGCTGACTCACAGCGACCCTATATAGGGTTCAGAGGCTATCCATCTTTATGGGAACAAAAAGCCTCGTCTGTCTCTGCAGAACAGCCAACCTTGGTTAGCAGTCCAACATCTAACCCCCCAGCGCTACCAGGGCTCTTGATTTGTTGTTGTTGTTATATGCTGTCAAGTCAGTTCTGACTCCTATCAACCCTGTATGGGGTTTCTGTGCCAGCCTTGTGGTTCGAAGTCCAGTGCTGATCCTACAGTGCCACCCCAGGGGTCCTTACACTGTGTACTTCATGTGATTATCACTTACTCACTAACTGTTTGTACGTATGATGGAGGAATGTATGTATTGCTGTATCAATAATACAGTGCTTTGCACCCCCCCAAAAAAAAAAGCTTTTCCTTTCATCATGTAAATGAGATTTAAGTTATATAAGTAAAAATACTTTCCCTAATATGAGCCAAGATATAAATTGCTCTTTGAAATTAAAAGTGAAATTATGTCCATTAAGTATGGCACTGTGGCTAATGCACTGGACTGCAAAGTCACTTTGAACTGCAAAGTCGGTGGTTCAAGCTCACCAGCCACTCCTCAGAAACCCTATACAGGGTCGCTGTGAGTCGGAATCAACTCGACAACAAAAATCCTATACCAATTATCAAAATGACTCCATTATTATGCATTTGAGATCTCAAAAGTGTTAGGGCAAAATAAACGTCATAAAATGCGACAGAGTACTAAGCTCTTACCTTTAAATTAAATCCAAGCAAGTCACTGATAACACCAGAAACAGCTGAAAGGATGACCACCTGGGTAATGTTATAAAGCAGTGGATTCATTGTAAGCCCATACAATCTAAAGGGACTGTCTAACTCCTAGAAGACAAGAAAACATGAGCCCGTGAGTCCCAAATTCATTAAGAGCTATCAGTTAAACTATATGGCAATATACAATGAAGATTTTTTTTTTCACCCCAAATACTAAAGTTACAAATTAAAAGTCCTTTTGGAAAGAATAAACTTGGTTACAGTTGAAATAAGAAAATGGACTTTAAATTTTACAGAATATGCTCAAATATAATTGGAAATCATTTGAATAATCATTAAACAAAATACAAATAAAATCCACAAAAAATAAGACTAAGACACACTGTTGGGAACAGCACTTTCTTGTATTCCACATTATATTTTATGGAGCCCTGGTGTGGTACGGTGGGATAAAGCACTGGAACGCAAGGTCAGTTTGAACCACATGGTTATTATATTCTTACCTTTAGCAATTTAGTAGCCAGTTTTAAAACGTTATTCACTAGTGTCAGTTCTTCTTTCTTGTTAGGTTTCTTCTCCATTTTCAAGTAGAGGTTTATCTTTTATATATATAAAAAAGTAAAAAATGAAAATAATCAAAATTATACAGACTTTTTTAAAAGAGCTTGGAAGATATGCATTAAAATGTTAACAGTGGCTCTCTGAGAGTTGAGGTTACAGGTTATTTTAATATTCTCCTTTATACTTTACTATGCACTCCGGGTTTCCTGTAATAAACATATTACTTTAGAATCAAAGAATGATAAATTACGAGGCTTCAAAGAATTTGTGGAAAAATTCCATTATCTTTCAATGTCATTCTTCTATGAACTTTTTGAAGTTCCATTCATATTAAAAACACCTTTTAAATGTAATTAGAAGCCCAAACAAATAAGAAAGCTATAAAGGCAAATACTGTTAACTGATGGTGCATAGAAGGGATTGTAATCATTGCAATGAAACAAAATATGACTGGTTGAGTGCAACCGATATTCTCCCATGTAAACGATCACTCAATTCATTTCACTGTCTATCCACTCTGGAATAGAAAATTTAGAGGTGCTAGCCTGTTCTCAGCTTGAAAAACACCCTAACCAACCCAGAGCCCGTGGAAAAGGACAGAGCTGGGAAGCTGTGCTTTTTCCACTTGATCCTACCATCCCACCCTCACACTGGATGCCACAGCTAATCAGGCTGGGTGTATTCCCAAGTCAAAGATACTCAATAAATACACTGACTGGTGAGAGTAGGAGCATGTGCTGAAAAGTTACAATATTTTGGCACTGGCAAGTCAAGACCATGTGTAAACAAAAATCATAGAGTAGCAAATATACAGAGAGGTTACTGAAACCAAGGTACATAAAGGAGCAGAAATGAGAAACGATACAACTCCAGGTGGAGGAAGCGTTTGCCTTTGCTCAATTCTCATGAAACCCAACTCTACTTTATTTCCTTGAAATCTCTATGGCCACTCTTCCCTTTCAACTGAATTTATTTGACCAAGCTATCTGTTCCTTGCTTAAATGTATTGTTGTTAGGTGCAGTCCAGTCAATTCTGACTCACAGTAACCCCATATGACCAAGTAGAGCTGCCCCAGTAAGGTTTTCTTGGCTATAAATTTCATGGAAGCAGATCAACAGGACTTTCTCCTGCGGAGCCACTGGGTGACTCTGAACTGAGAACCTTTTGGTTAGTTTGTTGTTATGTGCCGTGGAGTCGGTTCCGACCCATAGCAACCCTGTACAGGGTTCCCGAGGCTGTAAATCTTTATAGGAGCAGAAAGCCTCATCTTTCTCCCATGGAACTGCTGGTAGTTTCGAACTGCTGACCCTGAGGTTCGCAGCCCGATTCGTAACCACTACACTACCAGAGTCAAGTGATTAACTGTTCCATATCCAAGTATCCCTCACTAAAATATTCTACACATTCTTTAGCAGTAAGTTTCTTGGTATAATCCCTATGAAATGGTGAGAGGAATATATTTTAAAAATTCATACAAAGTAGATAATCATCAAGATGGTTATGCTTAATTATTCCATTCAAACAAAAATTTGTATTTATTCAAATGTTGTCTTTGCTACACTGAAAAGCAAACATACCCCATTAATGATTTCAAATTCATGATTACCATCAATAGTAGTTCCTTCTTGCTGAATGGAAAAGGGACACACAGAAGGGTTAGATTAGATGAAAATCATAAAATCTTGAGACAAAGCAGAACACTAAAGTAAGGCTTGAATACTATCAAATTTTACTTTACAGCAAAAATAGCTTTCTTTATTCTAATCAAATACGCTCCATAAAAGCATGAAGTAAACGAACAGTCTACAGACATTAACTTATAACATATTAAGTAAGCATTCTTACCTGCTCAGTAAGTAATATTGAGGTATTGCTGTATTTTTTACTTGTTTCTGATCCAAGAGTAACAAATCTTAGGAGAAAGAGTGTTAAGGAGATGCACCAGATTACCAGCTCCCAATTGTAATGGCAATCCAGGAAGATCTCATGCACATGAAGCAGCTACATATGTGTAAAAAAGGAAAAAGACAAAGTAATACTTCAAGCAATTTCTTTTTTAAAGGCAAAAATTTTTTATTTCATACAAATTGATCATAAATATAGTATTACATTTGAAAAACATTTCACATTTATTATGAAGTATCTCAATCATACCCAAAGTAAAATGTAACCAATATGCATGGGAATTCACCCAACTTTGTCACTTCTTTAAAATTTATAATGTTTTTAGATTTTTGAATAATAAAGATGACAGATTCAGTTGAAGTCTCTTTAAGCTTTTTCAACACTTCCTCATTTCCAGGTTGCCTCACACCACCAGGTGTAGTATATTCTGTGCTGATCTTTTCAAGCATGTTTTGTAGTTTAACTACATATACATCATTAAACTAGAATATATATATATTTTTTGTTGTTGTGAAGTGCTGTCGAGTCGATTCTGACCCATAGCGACCCTGTATAGGGCTTCCAAGGAGCAGCTGGTGAGCTTGAACTGCCGATTTTGCAGTTCAAAAGGCTTTGCAGTCTCTCTCTCTTTCTCTCCATATATATATATATATATATATATATATATGTTGTGTAGTGCCGTTGAGTCGGTTCCAACCCATAGACTTAAATTTATGTATTATCACATTGTTATCATCAATTTCCTTTTTATTCCAGTGAACAATTTTAAGAAAAAATGTACCCACATTGATAGGTTGATTCTAGGTCCTATAAAGTAATTACAATTAAAGAATCAATTGATTTAGCCAAAATTACTGGCCTCCTCTACTAATTAACATTTATGCATATATTGTCACCAATTTTCCTTATTACCAACTATGCCATAACAAATAATTCTTGCATGTTTCTTCTTGTGTACACATGAAAAAATTTCTCTAGAATTTGATATCCAGAAATAATATTGATGAGTCATTGGAAATCCAGATTTTAAGCATTACTGTTGCTATTGTTAGGTGTCGTCAAGTCGGTTCTGACTCACAGTGACCCTATGCTCAACAGAAAGAAACACTTCCTGGTCCTGCACAGTTCTCACAATTGTCATGTTTGAGTCCATTGCTGCTGCCACAGTGTCAATCCATGTCACTGGGGGTTTTCCTCTTTTTCACTGACCCTTCACTCTATCAAGCATGATGTCCTTCTTCAGTGATTGGTCCTTCCTGACATGTTCAAACTACGAGACAGTCTCACTATCCTTGCTTCTAAGGAGCATTTCTAACTTCTAACTGCACTTCTTCTATGACAGATTTGTTTGTTCTTCTGGCAGTCCATGGTGCTTTCAGTATTTCAGTTTTAATAAATACTGCAAATTTATTCCCAAACCAGTTAAACCAATTTATACTCTCAGCAGCATATCAGAGCTCCCATTGCCCTCATTTGTACCACACTTGGTACTAATCAGCTTCTTCACATCTGCTGACCTGAGGGGTGTGAAATGTTCTCATGATTGAATTCTACTCCTTAATTATTTACAAAGGTTATGTATGTTTCATATTCTTATTGGATACTGGGTTTCCTCTTCTATAATCTACCTTTTAATAGTATATATCTATTTTTTCTCTCTTGGGCTGTCTGTTTTATGTTATTAATTTACAGAAGTTACTTACAAGATTCCTATTTAAGTTATATGTTTTGCCATTATTTACCCCCAGTCTCTGACTTTTGTTTTATCATGTCTTTTGTAGAATACACAATTTTTTACTTGTAATCAAATAAAAACTGTTTTTTTACATTTAGTCTTTAATCGCCTTGGGATTCATTCTAGTGGTTCAAACACTCGTCTGCTTAACCACAAGGTGGGTGGTTTGAACCACCAGCCGCTGTATGAGAGAAAGCACTGACAGTCTACTTCAGATATGCAGCCTTGGAAACCTAGTGGCAGTTCTATTCTGCCGCTGATTGGGGTTTACATATATGTGCATCGGTAACGTGTATTTCATCCCATTGGTCAGCCTGTACTTACAAAGCCATATGCATTCTAAACTAGCTGAGCTTTGCTTAGCTCTTTGTGCCTCCATATGAATTTTAGAAAACTTGACAATCAATGTTTGAATCACATTTGAATTTACAATTTTATAAATTAACCTGGAGAAAACAGACATGAAATTGAGCATTCCTGGCCATTAATGTCATATATCTTCTTTCATAACTGTCAATTAAATTTCTTATCTTCCTATAAGATCTGATACATCTTTGGTTAAGAGTTATTATTGAAAATTATTGAAAACCGACATCTATTACAGTTTTTAATTCTTTTTCCTGTGCATGGCAAGAAGCAGCAAATTCTGATTTATGGGCCAAAGCTGTCCTGAGGCTTATTTTTTTTATTCAGCCCAGAAGCTAAGAATGACTTTTATAGATTTTAAGGGATGTTAAAAAGAAGTAGATATGACAGCAGCTATATGTGGCACAAAATACCTAACATATTTCTTACCTGGCCTTTTGCAGACAAAGTTTGCTGATCTCTGGCTTATAGGAACAAAGTTGATTTTTTTATAATTTGTAAAGTCACTTGGATGTTCTATATAGATCATTCCATAATCTGTGACTTCTAATTTTCCTTTCCATCTTTTTAATTATTTTTTTCCCCTCAACCCAGTTGATTAAAACCCTCCATCAAACTGCTGACTAGAAGTGGTAGTAAGGGTGTCTTTGTCTTATTCCTGATTTTAAAGTAAATAAGGTAGCATCATTATGTTTGCTCCACATTTTGAAAGGTACCCTTTGTCACACTAAGAGTATACTTTCTACTCTTTGTATCATGAAATATCACTGAATTTTATTAATTTGGTTTCTATATTATTAAGATGATGACATCTTCTCTTTTAATCTACTAAAGATTCTAAAATTACATGAAACAATTTTCTAATGTTGAAAATCTCTATCCTGTGGGACAGAACTTCAAATTCTTAAAGAATCCTGAGTTATTAGACCTATTAAAGCTGGGAAAGCCCCCAAGAACATGGCCCTGGGTTACTCTTCAAACCTTAAATTATAATTCAGCTTTAAATTAACTAACAGGTTAGCTCAAAAAGTAAAGATTGTCACTTTTGAGTACTGTGTAGTTTAAAACAAAAATAAAAAACAAGACAAAATGGTCAACAGCTATTTTAAAGCATAAATGAGAAGACTGAGGAACTACTGGAGGTAGTTAAAAATTAATGGGAATGAAGTAACTTGAACATAAATAATTAGAATGTTGACACAATGTGAAAAATATATTGAATGCCACTATAAATTGTGGAAGTGAGATAATGTTCTGCTGTGCATATTTTCATCAAAAATATTTTTTCCAAATCTTTGTATTTCAAGGATCAACTATCTTGGCCATGGTGTATACATCCTCATTACATTGCTGGTTTTCATTTTGCTAGTAGTATATTGAGGAATTTCACATCTAAGTTATTAAGTGAAATTAAGTCACAGTTTCTCATTTTTATAGCTTTTTGGTGTTATTATCAAGATTACATTAGCCTCAGCAAATTAGCTGAGGACTATTTCCTAACTTTCTATTCTCTATATCTTCCCTGTATGATTGTTGTTGTTAAGTGCCATTAGGTCAGTTCTATTTCATAGCGACCCTGTAGAGGATTTCCTAGGAGCGGCAGGTGAGCGTGAACCACCAATCTTGCAGTTCAAACCAGGCTTGCAGCCCAGCACATTGATTCTGTTTAAGATTAGGATGATCTTTTTATTTGAGAATTTGGCAGAATTCACTTGCAAAGTGTGTCTCATGGATCTGGCAGGATTTTTAAATTGGTGGTAGATTTTAAAATTTCTGAATCAAGTACTATGCTATTGTTATAGGTCTCCTCCAACTTTTGCTTTCTTTTTGACTCGGTTTTAATAAGTTTTGTATTTCCACAAAATGGTTCACCTAAGTTTACAACTTTAATGGCATAAAGTAATTCATACTAGTATCTTATTTTTTTTTTCAATTATGTTAGTATTTACAGTTTAATACTATTCTACTTCTTCTTTTAAAAATTTATTTATAAACATTTTCAAGATTCCAAGTGTCTGGTCTTTGTAGCAAATGGTCTCTAGGATACCAGACATTTGGTATAAGTGAAGGTTAGTTTGTGGCTCCTTTTATAAACTGCCCATGTGACTAAAAAGAGTAAGTATTCTACACATTTAAAATACATATTCTTCAATTGTTTGGTGTTTTAAAGCAGAAAAGTTTTCAGGTTATCTAGAATATCATATTAGTTGAAATGAAAGTTTACACTGTATTTTATAGCACATTATATATTTTAAGATCCTTTTGTGCTTCCTAACTAATCTTGGTTACTGAGCATTTGTTTTCATAGTACATGGCAGTCAAGTCATAGTGACAATTCAGATATATGAAATTAAAGATTATTAAATGGGAATAAATAAATTCATGGGAAAGAGTGTAAAACAATGTCATAACTCTAGATACTCATAAGTTTGGTTTGGAAAATAGAGGAAATCTGATGAATTGTAGAAAAAATAATTACTATATGTTCATTCAACAGACATTTCATGATATGCTTATAGCACAGAGATGAATAAGATGCATTTATTTATTCAACTGGAAAAAATAAACTCAAAAAGCGAACTTCACGACTTTGGCTTAGATATATTTTTACTTTGATTACTAATTATTAGAAAGTTTTCTGAAGCTTAGTATTTATATATTTGATTGTATTGCATATTTCTATATGGAACAACTCACCTGGGCACAACAGATAAATACAACTGAGATAGTCAACAAGAAAGCAGATGAAACAATTACATCAACTGATCGCTGAGGACCTCGACGCTGAAAAAAGAGTAAACAGTTTAGCCATTTAAAAACATATTCACTTTGAGTACTACACAAAGGATGCTTTGAGATAACTGAAGGAAGGCCTAATTTACATTTGAGAGTTAGGAGTGTGAATCCGCAAAATCCTCTTTGTGGAAATGATATTTATAACAAACTAAGGGGTATAATGGCACAGGCAGAAAAGTGCAAAAGCATAGAGAAGGAATATAATGCAATCAAAGAACGAAGTAGTCCAGTGTGGCAGGGAGGAAAATATTTCAAAATGAGGTTAAAGAGACAGGTAGATATGGCAAATGTTAGATCATGAAGAATTATATAAGCCCTGTTAAGAATTGTTCTATATCCTAAGAGCAATAGGAAATCTCCAAATAGTTTTTTAAAAATTATTTGATGAAATCAAGTTTTAAAAACATCATTCTGGTGGCAGATTAAAGACCTTATTTATGAGGAAATATGAACGCTGGAAGACCAGTTAAGAAGCAGCTACAGTAGTCCAAGCACAGATTATTGATGGCTTTAATTAGCGTGGTAGAAATGGAAATAAAGATAAGTAAATGGATTCAAGATATATTTTGGAAGCTGAAAGGATAGGAATTGGTGACATATTGCATGCTGGAAATATGAGAGAAGGAAGTAAGTACCAAGGATGCTTTCCAGGTTTTGGGTTACATGTTTCCCTCACTGAAGTTTAAGTTCCTAAGGAGAAGGACTGTCCTTTGCATCAACAGTGAATGGCATATTGTTAATATTAAATACATGGTTGGTTGGTTGTTTATGTGCCATGGAGTCGGTTCCGACTCATGGCAACCCTTTATAGGTTTCCAAGGCTGTAAATCTTTACAGGAGCTGAAAGCCTCATCTTTCTCCTGTGCAACAGCTGGTAATTTCGAACTACTGACCTTTAGGTTAGCAGCCCAACTCATAACCACTATGCTACCAGAGGGCATTAAACACATGGTTACTGGATACAATAATCAATGTATGAAAGAATGCAATACTAATTAGGATTAATAAGGAATGAAAATTTTAGATGGATTCTTACTATGTTAAGAAATCAAATTTATCCCTCCGTATAACAGAAAAGTCAAAGTGAAAAAATAATCTACATTAATTTTTAGCATTTCCCAATTGAGACTGAGTGAGTTGAATTAGTAAATTAATAATAATTAAAAGAAGAATACATTTTTTAAATACCAGGGTAGACAAATAGCACAAACTTTTTTTCACTTCTTTACTTTTTACTTCAAAATAGAAAACATTAAAGATGTAGGTTTGTCAGAGAGTATCTGGTCTTTGGGTCAACTTTTAATAAACTTTAATACAGAGCCAGATGGTGTTTTGAATAAGCGGCATTTGAATTTGCATACTTACTCCACATATAATGAAGTCCACTGATAGCTAATGTAACAAAAAAATAATCCTTAGATCACTAATTCATTAAATAGATGCAAAAGGTCTCACTATCTCAGTCTTGCCTAGAAATTAGGGAAAAAGTGCTTCTTAAAACTAATTCAGATGTTTCCCCTGACCCCCAGAGTTTTCATATTTTATTTCCCTAATTAGGAAAATTATTTTTAAAATTAGAGAAAAGAATAGGATAAAAATATTTTAAAATAGTAATTCTTGTTAAATGCTGTTGAGTCATTTCCAACACACAGCAACCCTGTGTAGGGTTTCCAAGGAACAACTGGAATAGGCCATTGGTTATCAGATTCACTGATTACTAAGCTTATTTTTTAAGTAGTGGGCTCCCTCTGCTGGTTTATAATAACCATTCTAGGAAGAGCCAAGATCCTTAATCCAGTTTGTGAATGAAGTGGTGGGATTTATGAACAAGCATAAATTTAGAGCAATCTGACCTTGAGTCATCTACCTAAAAAGCATTAAAACCTTTTAGACTTGAAATATTTTACTGTAAAGTACCAGTTAGACATTTATTTCAAATTTTTGGCTATGGAACAAAAAGATCACCAAGTATGGCTACGCAGTACCCTGTAAGTGCATACATGACCAAACATTGAGCATACGTAGTAACAAATAGACTGGAACTATAAGAGCGAGCCAGCATGTAAGAGTCCTTTTATCACTACCATTCTACCTTAAGATAGGAACGGAGAGATAGCCACATTTTTATATTCTGTACTTTCTTCAGCCGGAAATGTGGAACCTCAGATTTTCGTGCTCTCCTTGCAGATGTTAAATGTCCAAAGAGTTTTGCAAAAAGTAATCGCTAAAAAAAAGTAAGATGAGAATTAATTTCAAGTAGATTACCACAGAAAAAAAATCAACAAAATATGGATGCGAGAATTGTAATTGGTTTCCTAATACAAAAACAAAAGTGAAAAAAAGTAAGCCAAAATGATCTAACAAAATACTAAATTGCTTCATGAATCCTTTGAAAATTATGAAAAGGATAAAATATTCTCTGTTCAGATTATTATTATGCCTACCTGTTTATAAGTCCTTTCTGCTACACAGAGCAAAAAAAAGAAAATCCAAACAAGGGACACACGAACCACAAAACTTATTATAACCATAGAAAGAACTGTAACATCTTCATTAGAACCAAATGCAATCATGTAAAGTTCTGAAGCAGAATGTGCTGTGAGTTGTTCCAAGTCTGTAGCTTGAGAGAGCCGGAAAACAAATGGAGTTAAACCAAGGATTAGAGAGATTGCATTCCCAAACATCTGGTATCCTATTCCTGGTATATGGCTGTTGACCTTTACAAAATAAGAGAGAGAAGGAAAGAAAATTAACAAACTTTCTCTATAATAAAATCAATTCCTAGTAAGCATTACTCTTTTTTAATAGTTAAGTGAAATTTTGTTAAAATATATTTGTCTTCATATAATAATGAAATTTAAATTTACTTAAGTTTAAAAAGTTTATTGCATGCATTACTTAGGTCATTTTTTTTTTTCAGTTAAAACAGATTATCATCAGTTTTGTTTTTCATTTAAAACAGATTATTATCAGATCACTAATTCATTAAATAGATCTAAAATATCAGACTATCTAAGTCTTGCCTAGAAATTAGAGGGGGAAAAAAATCTATCACATTATTTCAAAAGTTAAAAATATTCACAAAGGTTGCAGTGTTAAAGAGAATAAGGTGCTCTCATATGCATTTTTAAGTTCAACTCATTAAAAGTAAATTCCAGGATTATACTGATTTATAATTCTTTTTATTAAAGAATATACAAATGAATACCTCCTTAAATTCTATAATCACTTCAGAAGACAAAGTCTGTTAGAATGGGAACAAATTCAATAAGAGAGAAGGAAAAAGGGTAGGGAATAATAAAAAAGAGAATCTGAAATTAAATAATGGAAAAATATGTTGTTGTTATGTGCCGTGGAGTCGGTTCAGACTCATAGCGACCCTATATAGGGTTTCCGAGGCTGTAAATCTTTACCGGAGCAGAAAGCCTCATCTTTCTAGTGTGAAACGGCTGGTAGTTTCGAACTGCTGACCTTGAGGTTTAGAGCCTGATTAGTAACCACTACACTACCAGAGCTCCTTATGGAACGATATGTTGTTCTTGTTAAGCGCCATCGAGTCAGTTCCGACCCACAGCAACCCTGTACAGGGTCTCTAAGGCTGTAAATCTTTACGGGAGCAGAAAGCATCATCTTTCTCCCACAGTGCGGCTGGTAGTTTCGAATTGCTGACCTTAAAGTTCACAGCCCAATTCGTAACCACTACGCTACAAGCAGGTCCAATATACAAGATCAACAGAACCAAAGGCATTTTAAAATCATCTACAAGGGGACTTCAAAAAAGCTCATGGAAAGATTTCATTATATTTCAATTCCACTGTCCTGTGAGCTTTTGGAAGCCCCCTTGCACAAATACATGCACAATATGTAACTTTTAAAATCTATATTCTAAGTAAGTCAGATGAGACTATTATAAATTAAGTGATCTGCTAGTTCACAGGAAATTATAGAGATCTAAGTCTCCAGATTACTAGCTGACAGCTTCTAATTGCTCACACTGAGATATGTTACAGGAGGCATATTAATTTATAGGACCATTTACTTTAATTCCTGTCCTACATAAAGTGCAGACAACAGTTCTACACTAACAATATACCATTGTTGTTGTTAAGTGCCATTGAATCTGTTCCAACTCAAAGTGACCCTGAATAGCATTTCCAAGGAGAGGCTGGTGAGTTTTAACCACTGACTTTATGGTTCAAACCAACCTTACAGTCCAGTGCTTTATCCTACAGCGCCACATCAGAACTCCTATATATACAATAGAAATGCCATAGAAATTTAGGATTGCGAATCAGATCATGCCTAATTGTTCAGGGAAGCCAGGTACACTTAAACAGAGTAATATCTAACAGGAGTCCTGGTGTGGTACCATAGGATAATCACTGGACTGACTACAAGGTCAGTAGTTCACACCCACCAGTGGCTACTTGGAAACCCTAAACAAGGTCACACTATGAGTCAGACCGACTTGATGGCACTTAGCAACAACAATATCTGATAAAAGGAAAAATAGAAATTAAAATTACAACCCATAGTATTTTTTTACTTCAACAAACTACTCAAGACTTTTATCACTAACTAAAACTTTATACATTTAAACAGATAAGCAAGTATAGACACAAATTTTCTAGCATGATTTTTTATTTTGTGTTTTAAGTACTAATAAATTAATGAACCTGTAAGAATGTTTCACAAAAATAAGTCTGCATCAATACTGTTTACATCTAGCATTTCGTCAATTTGATCCAATGAAAGCAAAAGAAAGAATAATATATAAAAGTTAAAGTTTAGTTTGTATCTTCTATCCTTGGGCAGAGGAATGCAAATACTAAAATACATTAAGTAGCTGGGTAACACACACATCACTGTCTAAATTACAAACTTAGCCAAATACAACCAAATAGCTTTTTTTTTTTAAGCTTGAAGAAATTAAGTGAGTAGGTTATAAATATAATATTCCAGTAAGTATTTAACATATTAATAATGACCTAGACTTAGCCTTGAACTATAAGAATACATTTTTAAACTTATTCTATTAAAAAACAACTTACTCTGTTCATTATCATTCCACTGATTTCAAGCACAGACATATCTGCTTTCTTGCAGTCATTGCCTTCCCATACTATAGCACTGATTTTTTCTAATCCCGGGTGGGAACTATGGAGCCAGGGCAAATGACTCTATGAAAAACAAATAGAAATTGGTGAAGACATTCATCACACTTTATAAATATAGCATATATAAGTGCATATACAGTTGTATATATATGTGTATACAGATACAATTGTGCAGAGACAAAATTTTTAATATGTGAAATATAGAAACTGGTGGTTCATTGACATTTCATAAACAGACAGACCGTGGTGGTGCTAGTGTGCCGTGGAGTTGGTTCCAACTCATAGCGATCATGTATAGGGTTTCCAAGGCTGTAAATCTGTATCAGAACAGAAAGTTTCATCTTTCTCTTAAAGAGCAGCTGGTAGATTTGAACTGCTGACCTTGTAGTTAGCAGCCCAACTTTTAATCCACTAAGCTACCAGTTGTTGTTAAGTGCCACTGAATTGGTTCTGATCCATAGTGACCTTGTATAGGGTTTTCAAGGAGCGACTGCTGAGCTTGAACTGCCAACCTTGTGGTTTAAAACTGACTTTGCAGTCCAGTACATTAATGCACAGCTATAAAACAGAACATGTATTTACATAAACACAGACACTTTTAATGATATTAAAATTATATTTTAAAACTAGCTAGAATATACATTGAATAGATGACATAAGAAATTGTAGAACTTTCTGTAACAGATATCAGGCAACCTATTGTTAAAAAATAAACTCAAATGTATCAGCAAAATGGCTTAGTTTCTAATCTATCTACAAAGCTACTAATTAATATTAAAAGAAATAGATAACAAATTGTTCATATTACTGATTTTCCAACTTACAAAAATGCAAAATATGACAGCTAAAATTTGAATTTGAGACTAGTGATATAATCTCATCCTGAAAGACTTTTCATTACAAATCTACCCTGAATAATTCATTTACTTTACTGGTTTTTAATTGAGCATTTCTTCAAAAGATAACTTTTCTTCTTCCCCAGATACTGTAATATTTGTCCTTCGGTGATTTCACTAATTTAAATCAGCATAATATCCTCCAGGTTCACCCAGATATTGCAACACTCATGAACACAAGCACATTGATTTAAAGTGCTTTCCCATGCCATGGAGATATTTGTTTTTTTCAATGTAAGAAAACAGAAAACAAATTGAAAGCTTAAGTATAAAGTCGTTGTTGCTAAGTGCCATTGTGTCGGTCCCAATTTGTAGCAACCCTGTATCGTTTTCCAGCATCTGGTGACTTTGTACTGCTGACTTTGAGATTCAAACCTAACTTGTGGTCCAGCACTTATCCTACAGTGCCTCAATTTGGGTTTTCTTATTTTTAGATTTATAAGTAAAGAACATTGTTGTTAAGTAACATTGAGTTAGTTTTGACTCATAGTGACCCTGTATAGGATTTCCAAGGAACAGCTAGTGGGGTTGAACTGCTGATGTGGTTTGCAGTCCAGTACTGATCCTACACACAGAGTCATTGTACCAAAAGGAAATGGTTAATGTTCAACCATTTCAAGAGATACCATATGAACAAGAGCCAATGATACTCAGAGAGGA